TTTAAATCTTAATATAAATGAGTAACAGTAGGTGGACATTAGGTAAGACTGCACTTTTTGCAGCAATCTTGTATAGAAAACTATTCCACGCGTATATAAAACAGGTCTGTGGCTCCGAACCGTAGTAAAGGGACCTCTGACTAATACGCCAGGTTCCGTGTTGAGCTTGTAGCCGAAAACTAGCTTTACTTTGTTGTCTGCGTCAACTTTGCTAGCGAGAGACAGAGAGAGGCGTTGAAACGCTACTCCACTGGAACTTATTGTTTCACATGAACACCGTGTACAGTCAAGTCTTAATAGCTTACTTACAACTGGACTTGTCAGGCACTCTTTTTGGCTGCAGTGGTTATTATTATATTTACATGCTTCCAGCTCCCGTTTCTGCTCGGTGACAACTTGTACTTTTCAACTCTCCTTTTTTGCACACAACAGGTATGGCAGTCCATTCTCCCTGCAGCATGGACTAAACTGCCCACGAGGCTACATTCTTTAGGGCTATGCCTGTAACACTCTGCCTATTGCCTTGATATAAAATTTTTAGAGTAATAATTTTCGCAAGTAGAGGTGACATGGGCCGTGAGATTGAGACACAGGCATTAGAGCCTGCTAATGCGAGTTTTGTTCGGGTTTCCATCCATGCCATGCCAGCCATGTTTTTTCGCACACAATGCATTCTGGGACGAGGACGTGTATTGGTTGTCGGCAGTTTTCCATCGGTGCTTTCGTTCAGCTAACCTGTTTTGTTTTTTAAAGTGTAGCAACAGTTTTAATTAACTTGCCTATTAGTGACCTGGTTACGACTTGGTAGACCAGCACTATCTGGTCTTTGAGTCTGACGTTATTAGCCATGTCTGGGCCCAAACTCAAATGATCACTGCAGCATTACTGAGAGTTGAAAAACTGTCTAAATTTGCTCATCTGTAATAAAATGATCAGCGTTCTGCTCTGCCAGGTGTAACAATTAAGTTTAACATCCAGGCATCCATGAAAACGGAATTTACATTAACTGAGTTAGAAGTTAGCAGGCAATTAGTTTGCTAGCTTCCATCTAAATATAATATACCATGTTCTGGCTGAGAGATTTATTTAACAAATTAAAACGTACAGCTCTGCTATCACTTCCAACATAAATGACAACAGGAAACTAAACAGCAGTGACTTTTGTAGGGTTACTGAAGTTGGGCTAGCTGGTATATAATGATGTGCTACGTGATCGCTAGCGCGAAAAGCTATGTTAGCATAATATAAACAGTAAAGCTGGAGGACGAACGCTAACGAACAGAGGACTTATGTTTGCAAAGTTTGGTGTAAATGTTACAGAGCTGCGGTGATGTCACCGTTTGCAGGTCCTTAAACTTAGACTGCGTTACTGGATATAATGCCTGTGTTACAACTGTTGCAGTATAATACTGCTGCTGCTGGCACTTTGTTGGAATTGGACGTCATCACTAACATTGCAGGGTGGAAATCCCGTCGTTAAGTCTGACGTCACTAGCCGTGTCTGGGTCTAAACTCCGCTGCAGGTCCATATATCAAACGATCACTATGGCATTACTGAGAGTAGAAAAACTGTCCAAAGTCTTTCATATTTAATAAAATGATCAGCGTTCTGCTCTACCAGGTGTAACAATTGAGTTTAACATCCAGGCATCCATGAAAACGGAATTTATGACATTTAACGGAGTTAGAAGTTAGCAGGAGTTAGCTCGCTAGCTTCTATCTAAATACAATATAGCATGTCCTGACTGCGGGGTTTTGGAAACAAATTAAAACGTACAGCTCTGCTATCACTTCCAACTAGAGCTGGGCGATATGAGATTTTTTCATATCACGATATGTTTTTTTCATTTCAGGCGATAACGATATATATCACGATATAAGCCAAATAACTATATTTGTAAGATTTAAATGTGCCGTTGCTCACAAGTAAAATGTGAAATAATCAGCAGCTTGTTTTTATTTAAATATTTATTTCCCATAATAAGTTCAACAGGGTAGATGTACTTAAGGAACATGAGACTTTTTCAGATAAATAAAGGCAAATATTGCAAACTACACAAAAGGCAGCCGCTAAAGCGTTTAAGTTTCAAAATAGAACAAACGAAACAGACTAAATTGTCAATTCCACTTAGAAACAAAATATTAATTCTACAAATAAATCTTAGTTTGTTTTACAGAAGAACAGACAAAACTGACTAACTTTTGTCAATATCAAATAAACTGAGAACTAAAAGGAAATTCTCAATCTCTCCTTGTTGTATAGCTTAGCTTTTCAAACAGTTTTAACAGTTACTTTAGTCTGACAAAAGCCGAATGACGAATTAGCGCTTCCAGTCAGAGACTGAGGCTACGTCCACACGTACACGGGTATTTTTGAAAACGGAGATTTTCCGTTTTCGTTTTAAAAAATAATCCCGTCCACACATAAAGGCAGAAATGAAGGAAAACGCTGCTATGAACATGCCAAAGCAGCAGGTGGCGCTAGATTCCTAACCGTGCAGAAATGTTGGCCAATCAGAAGTCTAGAAGCCTCGGTGGGAAAAAGTAAACAAAGCTGGGGCATAGAAGCAGAACCGAGTCGTATGTGTGGACGGACAGTAACTGTGTGTATATGTAAGCATTTAAACACTGCAGAGAGTAGAATTAACAGTAACAGTATTGTAGAAATTCATTTCACCGAAACAATAACGTGGCGCACAGTGTGACGCATGCACCAGTTTATTGTATTTCCAGACTTGCTTTCGGCACAATTTACAGTGCACGCTACTCTGTTTTTTGTCAGACTTGAAATAGCCGAAATACCTTCACACTACGGAGCTTCTATGGCTCTTCCGTTTGACAATCTCTCCGGCGTTGGAACCATCATCTGTTTTCTCTTCGGTCACGCTCGGTTGATTTTTCTAGTCGGCACACTCATTTCCTCCATTACCCGCTGGCTGCTTCCCAAACAAACACACGTGCGGCTTGGCACTTGTGCTGTACGTAACAAGTCACGCGACGTGACGCTGCGGCTGTGATTGGTTCGGCTCTGCGCTACTTAATTTGGATTGGCTGACCTTTTTTTTTTTTTTTTTTTTTTTTAAGAGGACAAGAGCGGCGAGGTCTATCGCGATAGCTTAATTTCTCTATCGAGTAAAAGTTATATCGCGATACATATCGTTATCGTTCTATCGCCCAGCTATCACTTCCAACATAAATGAAGACAGAAAACTAAACAGCAGTGACGTTTGTAGGGTTACTGAAGTTGGGCTAGCTGGTATATAATGATGTGCTACGTGACCGCTAGCGACACAGCTATGTTAGCATAATATAAACAAGCTAACTTTTTTTCTACTCGATAAAAGTTAACGTGAGTGTTCTCGGTGGTCAGGAACAAATGTAATCGCATGGCAGGATGCTGTAAAAGGACCAAACTTCAGCCAGGAGAACAACTGAGATAATCCATCCACAATACGAGGTTAGTCATTCATATACTGCTGCATGGGCTGGGCTGTAGTTACATCCTAAGGTTTTAAAAACTGAGCTTAAATAAATGATTAGCGGTAATAAAAGCCGAGGGAGGTCAACAGTGATCACTGACTGTTTTAGGAGCTTTTTGAGATTAAATAGAAGAAAATACAAAACATTAAACATGTTAACAACACAAAAGCCATATTAAACGCAGACTACTTTAGACCCGGAAGTAGGATTCGTCACGTCATCACTTAAACGACTGTAGACCGGTGAAACATGATATAGCATGTTCTGACTGAGAGATTTCTGAAAAAAATCAAACGTACAGCTCTGTTATCACTTCCAACATAAATGAAGACAGAAAACTAAACAGCAGTGACGTTTGTAGGGTTACTGAAGTTGGGCTAGCTGGTATATAATGATGTGCTACGTGCCGCTAGCGACACAGCTCATGGCAGGATGCTGTAAACGAACCAAACATCAGGAGAACCACCGAGATAATCCATCCACAATACGAGGTTAGTCATTAATATACTGCTGCATGGGCTGGGCTGTAGTTACATCGTAAGGGTTTAAAAACTGAGCTTTAAAATGATTAGCGGTAATAAAAACCGAGAGAAGCCGACAGTGATCACTGACTGTTTTTAGGGGCTTGTTGAGATTAAAACGAACAAGATACAAAACATTAAAACATGTTAAAAACACAACAGTCTTATTAAATGCAGACAACTTTGGGCCTGGAAGCACGATTCATCATGTTATCACTTAAAGACCAGATACCGTCATGGAGGCTAACAAGGGCTGCCCAAAGAACATCTGGATTAAGACAAACGGCTTAAAAAAGTTTTGGTACTTTACAACAAACCTTCTCAGTCGCCGTTGCCATTGGCAAGCAGTAGCCGCATAGACACCAGTAGTTTTCCCTCACTCTCTCGTCCTCGTGTGACGGATTGTTTTCATCTTCATCTAAACTAAGTACTTGTTGACTATTTTCATTCGCTCTCTCGGTTTGATCTGGTTCAAACTGGAAAGGTTGAACAGAAGCCATTTCCAGTGCACTGCTAACTGTGAACTCGATGCGGTGCAACCATATGACGTCACTACCCAGAGTGTATTGAGAAGTAAATAACAATGGCGGCCTACTGGTAAATGGTTTTATATAAAATGTGTTTAAAAGGAAAACATTTGGCGTATTTTAATACCACATGTGTTATTGAAAGCACAGTACATATTTTAACGCAAACATGTCTTGATAGCCGGGGTTCCCTTTAAAAGAAGACGCAGTGCAGCAGATCACTTTTGGACTAACAAAGAAAGTAATGTCTTGATGCATTCTCAATCATCCAGGAAAGTAAATCTCCAAAAGCTGATTCTGTTCATCTGGACGTAGCGTTTTGTGGGAGAAAGGTTTTGTCACTCATCAAAGTGACTTCTTCAGTCTCAGCTGACTGCAGGTTTCCCCAAATCTTATAAACCAGAGGTGGGCAACTCCAGGCCTCGAGGGCCGGTGTCCCTGTAGGTTTTAGATGTGTCCTTGAACCAACACAGCTGATTTAAATGGCTAAATTACATCCTGCAGTTCTCCAGAGGCCTGGTAACGAACTAATCATGTGATTCAGGTGTGTTGACCCAGGGTGAGATCTAAAACCTGCAGGACACCGGCCCTCAGGGCCTAGAATTGCCCACCCCTGTTATAAACAGTACATTTGCATAATGACTGAAACCAGCCCACTGAAGGAACAATGGGCTGGGAGGTCAGTTCCTTAATCTTAATTATGCAAATTCTCATGACCATTGATCAACAACCACTGACCAAAACCCACTGATCAATGGCCATGAGCACCATTCACAGAGAGTTGGGGAATGGCTGCAATCACAGCATTGTAAGATGGCGAAAGATGTACCCATAGGCCCCCTCCTCGAAAGAAAGTAATATATCCTAAACAAACCAGAGAAATACAGGCAGAAAAATCCACCTTTAGGCTGGAAATGTAGCAGCAGAAATGTAGCAGCCTGTAATTTCTAAATAGCATTTCTGTTCCCCGTCTGTGAGCAAAGTGTGATGCAGGGATTGACAAATGTGAGATGTGTAACATCTCACATTCAAGAACTGATATCACCTGTGCAAACGGTACACCTGATAATGATCAAAAGAAGTGTTTTATCACTGTGTTCATTTAAAATAACTGATTTCACAGTTAATCAGGTGACGACCACTTCGCTTCGTCTCAGACTCTTCTTTACGTGTTAATTACTGTCAGCTGTATGAATTTGTGTAACGTGCTAAAACAAACCTTTTTTTCCCCTCCCAGCAGTGTGACATCTCGTACCTGCTCTGCTGAGCCTTGCGATGACGTTTCCGGCGCCGTTTGTGGGCAGGAGGCTGCGCCCCGTCGGCGGTGATGGTGCCCTCGTAGATGATCTCCACGCTGGGGCTGCGGTCTTGTCTGGACCTCCGGCTGCTGCAGAGAGAGAGCATGGAGTGAGCAACTTCTGGAAACGTCATTAAAACACCTGAACCACAGGAAGCTATTGAGAGGTCTTCCTCATCTGTTGAGCTGAGCACTTCACACCCAAACAGCTGGTGAGATGTTTCAGCTGACAGTTTTAGAGTCAGGAAAGCAACTCTAAAAAAAGAAATCAACAGTAAGAGGAGAAACAACATGCGAACATGAAGCCTTTTCATTGCTGGCAAGAAAATCCCAAACATTAATATTAGACTGAGGTTCATTTAAACTTAAGAAAATACAACAAAACTGTGTCTGTTTCCAGAATAAAGAGGAATACGTTAATGCTGATCTCTCGTGGTAAAGGATTCATTTTTCGTGCATCGTCCCCTGAATAAAGAGCTGCAGCTTAGTGATTAACCAAAGATAATCATTTTCAAAACCTAAACACTTGCTTCTTCTGTTTACCTATCAATCAGATCTAGCTAGAAGCAGCCATCACATCAAAATGTATAAACAATGTTGCTAGGCACCACTGGCCTGCGGGAACGCTTTTACATTAATATTTATGGGTTCAAAATCACATCCCCTGTGGGGAATTCATTTACATGATTTTGAAAATCACAAGAGGTCAAAACGACCG